AACCCTAAACCCTAAACCCTAAACCCTAAACCCTACGTCGTAAAAAGCGGAGTTAGTGGCTTCTCACCGAAAAGAGAGCAAACGGATCGCGTTTGAGAAAGCTTTCGTTCGAGTCAGAAGTCTTTTCTGTTGCTGCTGTTGTCTTTGCTGCTGCTGCTGTTGCTGCTGCTGCTCGGTGGCGAGGGTGGTCGCGTGCTGCTGCTGCTGCGGCTGCTGCAGCAGCAGCAGCTGCTGCTGCTGCTGCTCCAGCTGCTGCTGCTGCTTGCTTTTGTGCTTTTCTTCCACAATATTTTTTTTCTATTTGTATTTTAATTCACGTTTTGTAGCTAAGTTGCAGGTTTGAGGGTCAGGGTTTGGAGTTTGGACTCCCAGCCGAGGGTTTAGGGTTTAGGGTTTAGGGTTTAGGTGGCCAGTGGTCACCCAGGTGACCCTGGGGCTACTCTCGAAAGCCCTGATTAAATTTACTTTTTTTGTTGCTTTTACTTTTAAATTAACTCTATTTTTGCTTTAATTCGCCACAAAATAGTTCAAACCCGGGGCTGGCACACTAGGGTTTAGGGTTTAGGGTTTAGGGTTGAGGGTTTAGGGTTTACGCAGTGTCTGCACGAAGCAAACACTTCAGTGTCCTGGCCCTTGAGGCTTTAAGAAATGCAGCAGCAGCAACAGAAGGCGCTGCAAACCCTAAACCCTATTCTCAAACCCTAGACCCCATCCCCAAACCCTAAACCCTAAACCCTAAACTCAGCCAAACACTCCCTGTTGAGACGCAGCCCGTTCCAAAGCTGAGCCCTAAACCCTAAACCCTATAAACTGAACCATGAACCCTAAACCCTAAACCCTAAACCCTAAATCCTATAACCGTAAACCCTAAACCCGAACTCCTTTATTACTTCAAAGCAACAGAAGGTGTGGGTGTTTTCATTGCGTACGCAACCAGCGCACACCTAAACCCTAAACCCCAAACCCTAAACCCTAAATCCTAAACCCTAAACCCCAAACCCTAAGCCCTAAATCCTAAACCCTGAAGCCTAAACCTCTAACACTAAAGGTTAAGCCCTCAGCCCTAAACCCCTAACTCTAAACCCTAAACCCTAATCCTTCAGTAGTAAACCCTGAGGCCTAAACCACAAGACCTATGGCCTAAAACGTAAACCCTAAACCCTAAACCATAACCCCTAAACCTATGGCCTAAAACGTAAACCCTAAACCCTAGACCATAACCCCTAAACCATAAACCCTAAGTCTCGAACCCTAAACCCTAGACGTTAAACCCTAAAAAGGGGTTCCATCTTTGCAAGATGCAAATTTCTCTCTCGAGTGTTTGTGTGAACCTAAGTTGGGGTGTATAAACAGTGCATGCATGCATTCGCCTTCTCCGCAAAAGGCCTTTTATTATTTTTCATTTAAATACTGTTTTTAACTTTAAATTTCTTTCAGCGCTCAATCCCCTTCAAACTAAACCATTTTGGCCACAAGTATTTAATTAAATGTAAATAGATATATCTTATTTAGCTTTTAAATCCATAAAATTGCACTTTTGAGAAGATGCATGCAAATATAAATGGGCAAAATTGCGGAAACTTCTTCAGAATCATATTTGACTGAAAAGAACACGCTGTGTACATACACCTGAATGGGAACATAAACGTGGACTTCAATGAATTTAAATTCAATCAAATTCATTTTAATTCACTTAAATGAATTTAAATTCATTAAATGAATTTAAATGCCTTTGAATTTATTTATTTCAAATGCATTTAAATGAATTTAAATGCACTGTTGCTCTCTGAGCTTTCTGCAATTTGCATGCACTTTGTTTGTCTGCTTGCGCATAAACTTTTAAATAAACTTGAAGACCATTAAGCCCACAAATGGTACATTTGCATGCAGCAGAAAAGCAACAAAAAGGGATTTATTTGCTGCTGAAAATTCGTCGAAAAAATCTCCGAAAAAACTAAACAACAGCAGTTTCAGGTGTACATACACCTCAAGCTGCCTCTCCATCTGCCGCTAGCAGCAGCAAATTGTTTTTGTTTATTTGTATAAATGAAAGTACTTTCTTCTTTTCTTTCTCTCTAAATATATAAAAATAATTTCAAACAAACTGACTTGTAAATAGAAGCGAAAAGCGCATCTAAATGCACATTTGAATATAATTATCTGCACATCTGGTGTCTATATCTATTTTATTTTAATTAAATAATTTCTTTATTTATATTAATTAATCAATTTATTTACGTTGATTAATTGATTAATTTATTTATATTTACCGGAAAAAGTACAAATGCGTAAATATACTTCTAAATACGATTTCCACCAAATGCTTTTGCTGCTTCACCCATTCCTCAGAATGGGGAGCAACAATAAATGAATTTGCGAGCAAAAATATAGCAGCAGCAGCAGCTGCTGCTGCTGCTGCTGCTGCAGCTGCAAGGGCTGTTGCAAGGTCTGCAGCAGCACCAGCTCCTGCTGCAGCTGCAAGGTCTGTAAGTCCAGCAGCAGCAGCCGCAGCAGCAGCAGCAGCAGCAGCAGCAGGAGGTACGCGCTGCTGACGTTGGCTAAGAGGCGATATATGAAAGCAAACAGAAGTGTCACTTTCAACAAAATAGTTTTAAAATATGAAAATGGAAAAGCAAATAAGTTCTTGTGTCAATAAACTCCGAGTCCGGGAATTGAACCCGGGTCTTCCGCGTGACAGGCGGAAATACTAGCCACTATACTAACTCGGACTGGCAGGAACTGCAGCAGCAGCAACAGCAACAGGAAAAGCAAAGCAGCAGCAGCAGCAGCAGCAGCAGCAGCAGTTTCAGCAACTGCAGCAGCTTCCGTGTGCACTGCCAGACGAAGCAGCAGCAGGCTTGAGCAGCTGCAAGAGCAACAGCGGCTGCATCAGAACAACCGTTGCTACACCTGCAGCAGCAGCAGCAGCAGCAGCAGCAGCAAAAGCAGCAGCGTCATCAGCAGCAGCACGAAGAGCAGCAGCAGCAGAAAGATGTTTCCAAAACGACATTTTCACATATTACCCGACGCAAGCCAGCATGTCTGTACACTTGAAACTTTCTGAGATGAAGATCTGCATCTAAAATAATTAAATTAAAAAAAATAAATTAAAAAAAATCATTTTTTCCTAACTTGCAAACCAACTCAGCCTTCTAAGCGAGTCAAAGGAGCAAAGGAGGCCCCAATGAAGAGAAAAAAGAATATCACCACCAAATAAAATAAATAAAAATAAATATTTAATTATTTTAATTTAAAAAAATAAACTAATTTATTCAAAGAGACGTACAGAGTGGCGCATCCTCGGGTGTACAGACAGCTGGAGAAACATGAACGTTCAAAAGGCATGCATGCAGCGACACTTTTGAAATGAAATAAACAAAAAGGAATAAATATTAATAAATAAAATAAAAAATAATTAAAAAAATAAAAAGTATTGTTTTAATTCCTCTTTTAAAATCTCAAAAAGCTCCGAGTCCGGGAATTGAACCCGGGTCTTCCGCGTGACAGGCGGAAATACTAGCCACTATACTAACTCGGACTGGCAGGTGCAGCAGCAGCAGCAGCAGCAACACGAGCAGCAGCAGCAGCAACAAAAAAAACAGCAGCAGCCGCGTTTCCTGTGGTAGTAAGAGGCCGGGTAGCAGCAGCAGTAACAGCAGCAGCAAGCACAGCAGCAGCAGCTGAAGCAACGCAGGTGTAGCAGCAGCGTAGGCAGCAGCAGCAGCGTAGGCAGACGCAGCAGCAGCAGCGGCAGCATCTGCAGCAGCTGCACCAGAAGTATCAGCAGCAAGTAAATAGAAGCATTTATAGTGCTCCATTACCAGCTGCAGCAGCATCAGAAGCAGCAGCATCAGAAGCAGCGAAAGCAGCAACAGCAGCACAAAGACAGTAAGCGGGAGCAGCAACAGCAGCAGCAGCAGCAGCAGCAAAAGTGGTAGCAGGCTCTGCTGCTGCAGCACGGACTATAACTTACTTTCCATGCTGCATGTACACCGGAAGCTCTGTAATCTACAGAATAAATAAAACAAAATTCCATTTTATAAATATATAAAAAGAAAATAAAAATTAAAAAAATGATAATCATAAACGTAAAAGTAAATAAATATGAATATAAAAGTAAATATGAACTGTTGCTGCTCCCTTGTGGGGCCTCCTTTTCATGGTTAAAGGCAGCAAATGAATATTTTGAAACATTAATTCCAAAACATAATTTATTTTATTTTAAAAACACTTTTAGATAAAGATTTAAACATTTAATTGCATGCAGCGCATGCAGCTGCTGCGTCTTCGCCTAAATTGATTTGTTCACTTTTGGAGTTTGTTTTCATCCGGGGCTTTGCATGCTGCCATAAAAAGAGAAAACGGAAAGTTTTAAAATAAATTTTGATTTGTATTTAATTTAAATGTTTTAAAATATATTTTAATTTGCATTTAATTCCGAATTGAGCCGATTGGCTGCATGCGAGCGCTCGCGCGAGATGCCGTTCAGGTGTACGTACACTCGAATTTCAAGCACACTCCAGGTTCAAACATAAACTCAACTTGAATGAAATATAAACACAATTAAACAAAAAACAAAATAATTTAAATATATTTTTAGACATAAATGTAAATGAATTGTAAATACAATTAAACAAAACATAAATGATAAGTTTGCATGCGCATGTGCTCGTAAGGGGAGCAGTCTTTCAGACTCCATCACTATAAAAGACCCAATCAAAGTGTGTTTTCCTCAAAAGTTGAATAAAATAAATATATTTACATGCTTTCTTCTTTTTAAATAGTTTTGGAGTCCATTTACATTCAAAAGTGCCCACAAATGTCCACTCCGGAGTGTCTGTACTCCCGCACTTGCGGCCTAATCTACGCAGCTAGGTGACTCCTCTTGCTGCTGCTGCTGCTGCCACTGCTGCTGCTGCTGCTGCTGCCACTGCTGCTGCTGCTGCTGCTGCTGCATGCGGACGCGAGAGGCCCATTGACCCAGTAATATATTGGTTTATTTGAATTTTCAAACATTTGCAAGTGCTCAGCGCATGCAAATTCACGCGCTTCACTGTAAGTTTTTGGCTAAGTCAATGGACAGGTGCAGTTAGTTAATCTAATAGAACAAGCTACAGGCTTGCTGCTGCGGCTCCCATTTGTTGCTGCTGCCTCCCTGCTGCAGCAGCAGCAGAAAAACTGCGGCTCCCATTTGTTGCTGCTGCCTCCCTGCTGCAGCAGCAGCAGAAAACTCCATTTGTTTCGTGGACGCAGAAGCAAAGCCTCCAGGGGCAAACGCTCCGCAGCAAAAGCTCCCTAGCGCACACTGCGCAGCAGCAGCAGCAGCAACAGCAGCAGCAGCAGCAGCTGCTGCTGCTGCTGAAACACACTACAAAGAAAAAACTGCCCCAAAAGCCCCGCACCACTGGGGAACCCAAGGAGGCCCTTGGAAGGAGCAGCCAAACTTGCTGCTGCTGCTGCTGCAGTGCGTATAAGAAGGCAGCAGCAGCTGCAGCAAACGCCGTTGCTGCCTGACCGGCATAAGCAACACAATCTGCAGCTGCTGCTTAAACAGCAGCAGCAGCAGCAGCAGTTTACTTTCTTCCCACCAGCAGGCCCGAAGCTGCAGGCTGCTGCTCTCGCAGCACCCCAACAGCAGCAGCAGCAGCTGCTGCTGCTGCTGCGTTGCTGCAGCTAATGGTCTAGGGCATCCATTCACTAGGCAAGCCTTGAGTGATAACGTACACCTAAACCGCAACAGCAGCAGCAGCAGCAGCAGCAGCAGGGACAGTGTAAGTGCAGCAGCAGCACTGGGCCTCAGCAAGGCGCTGCTGCCGCCTGCACCTAAATGCGCACTTGCAGCTGCAGCAGCTGCTGCAGCAGCTGCTGCAGCAGCTGCTGCAGCAGCTGCTGCAGCGATGTTGCGGAAACCGCAGGAGTTGCTGCTGGTGCAGGAAACCGCGGCGCAGCACGACGAGCAGCAGCAGCGGCTGCTGCTGCTGCTGCTGTTGCTGCAGCAGCAGCAAACTGAAGCTTGCCTGATCTGTGGGGCAAAGCTTGAGGTCCCTGCTGGGGCAAGATATGACTATGGCTAAGGGCTGGTCCTGCAGCTCCAGCTGGGGCGAACTGGTGAGCTGTCTGTACACCCCAACTGCAATCTTTTTCTCCATGGTCAGCAAATGCTGCAGCAGCAGCGGCAGCAGCAACAGCAGCAGCAGCAGCAACACCAGTGTGGGGGGATAAAAAAACTGCAAAAGAACTCTCGGACACCGCAAAGCTTTGCGAAGTGTCTTCCACGCAGCGTGCGTTGCCGCAGCAGCAGCAGCAGCAACAGCAGCAGCAGCAACAGCAGCAGCAGCAAAAGCAGCAGCAGCAATCACAATACCTCAAAAAGTCTCCTAAAGGAGCTCCCAAAGAACATCGGCGGAATGCTCTCCAAACAAAGAGGAACAGCCGAGCCCCCGCGCGCTGAAGGGCGGGCCTAAAGAAGCAGCAGCAGCAGCAGCAGCAGCAGCAGCAGCAGCAGCAGCAGCAGCAGCAGTAGCAGCAAAAGCAACAGAAGTAGTTCCACTGCTGCAACTCCAACTCAGCAATCGTGGCAGCAGCAGCAGCAGCTGCAACTACTGACGGAAAAGTGAAAACTTCAAGCAATTGGAAGGCAACAAGACTCCCCCTTTAAAAGCACCAGCAGCAACAATAACTGCAGCAGCAGCAGCAGCAGCAGCAGCAGCAGACCTGGACAAGGTTGTTAATAACCCCGACTTCAACTGAGTATTTGCTGACGGGCAGTGCATGCGCCACAGCCCCATAAAACATTTCCTCCACACAGGCGTAGCCAGAAGCAAAAAAGAGAGACCTGAGGAAGCAGCAGCAGCAAACAGCAGCAGCACGGCCGCGCTGCAGCAGCACAGCAGCAGCAGCGCAGCAGCAGCGCAGCAGCAGCGGCGCCGAAGCCGCGGAAGAAGCAGCGCAGCTGCTTCTGCAGAGGCGACGCAGGAGAAGAGGCAGTGCAGCAGCAGCAGAGAAGCAACAGAAGAAGCAGCGCAGCAGCAGCAGAGAAGCAACAGAAGAAGCAGCGCAGCAGCAGCAGAGAAGCAGCAGAAGAAGCAGCGCAGCAGCAGCAGAGAAGCAGCAGAAGAAGCAGCAGCAAAGCAGCCAGCTGCAGACCGCAGCAAACCCAGCAAGTGGCCCCAGCAGCAGCAAGCGGGCAGAAGCAGCAGCAAGCGGACTGAAGCAGCAGCAAGTGGCATGCAGCAGCAGCAAGCGGCATGCAGCAGCAGCACTCCGGCAGCAGCAGCAGCAGCAGCAGCAGACCTTCTTGAGAGTGTATTTAGTTTATTTCTGTCATTTTAATTTATTTTAAATTTGTCTGATTTATATTTAGCTGCTGTCTTTCTTTGCTTCTCCATAAATTCTTTGTCTTTTTAATTTTTATATAAGTTCATCTTTTTCCGCACTTGCTTCCTTACTTTCCTCTCCACCATTTGCACTTTTATTTATTTATTTATTTATTTTTTTATTTTATTTTATTTTATTTATTTATTTATTTATTTATTTATTTATTTATTTAATTTTATTTGTTCATTTATTTATTTAATTTTATTTGTTTATTTATTTGTTGCTGCTCACCTCAGCCACACCGGCCGCGCGTAGCTGCTGGAGTCATACTCAGGCGCCTCCGCCAAGGTGAAGTCGCAGTACTGCAGCAGATTCGACTGCAGCAGCAGCAGCAGCAACAGCAGCAGCAGCAGCGGTGGCAGCAGCAACAGCGGCGGTGGCAGCAGCAGCGGCGGCGGCAGCAGCAGCAGCAGCAGCAGCAGGAATGGAAGGGGAGCCGCGACAAGCCGACAGAGGCAGCAGCAGCGGCAGCAGTAGCAGCAGAACGAGGACCCGCAGCAGCAGCAGCAGCAGCAGCAGCAGCAAGAGCCACAAGCGGTTGTAAGACAGCAAAACAGCTCTGCGGGCTCCCATGTTGCTGCTGCTGCTGCTGTTGGTGGAAGAAGTTGTCCATCGCGGCGGCTGCTGCGGCGGCGGGTTCCTGTCTCCCGAGGGGGTCTTCGAGCCCCGTTGCGCGCTGCTGCTGCTGCTGCTGCTGCTGCTGCTGCGGGTCCGCACTTGCCGTTTCTGGCGCCCAGCGCTGGCCCGCCGCTGCCGCGTGCTGCTGCTGCTGCTGCTGCTGCTGCTGCTGCTGCTGTTGGTCCGCGGCGGGCGCATGTGCGTGTTGGCCGCAGTTGCAGTTGGCGGCCGCTGCTGCTGCGCGTTCGCGCGCCGCGGCGGCGGCGTGTCTGTCGGCCGCCGCCGCCGCAGCAGCAGCAGCAGCAGCAGCAGCAGCAGCAGGCTGCTTCCTGCGCAGCAGCGCGGGGGGCAGCAGCAGCCCCCCCTGCGGCGGCGGCAGCGGGCCCCCCCGCTTGTACAGAGCCAACAAAGTCCGGCGAACCAAGATCGCCTGAGTGTCCAGTTTGCTGCTGCTGCAGTCCAACTTCCAAGACACGTGGGGGCAGGAGAAGACAGCCACTGCTGCTGCCTGCAGCGCCCCAGCCCGCAGCAAGTCCGTCATGGAGAGCCCCGAGCCGCAGACGTAGGCGCAGCAGCCCGCGAAGCCCGCGAGGTCCAGTGGTCCAACAGTGGTCGGGCTGTGGGGACTCAGGACCAGGACGTTGCGGGGTCCATTCTGCAGCAGCGCATGCAGGAAGATCCGGAGGCCCCTTGGCCAGCCACAGACGAGGACAAGGGGGGCCCCCGGGGCCTCGTAGACTTGCTGCTGCGCCTCCGCCAGCGAGAGCACTGCTGTGAGGCCCCCCAGCTGCTGCTGCGCTGCAGCGGGGGGGGGCCCCCCGCAGCAGGGGGGCGCCGCCAGGCTGCTGCTGCTGCTGCTGCTGCTGCTGCTGCGGCTCCGGAAGTCCCGGAAAGGCGGCGAGCCGCCGCAGCAAGCCGCAGGCGCCGCGCTGCGAAAGGGCACTCGGGAACAAGCACCTGCTGCTGCTGCTGCTGCTGCTGCTGCTGCTGCTGCTGCTGCGTCGGAGGGGTGGGAAGCAGCAGAAGCGCTTACGGCTTCCTCCATCGAGTGCAGAGAAGGACTTTCCTTCAACGGGTGCAGCTTCAGGCCCAGCGGGGCTCCGTACGCGCCTGCAGCAAAACCGCAGCAGCAAAACTCTCTTATTAATTAATTAATTAATTAATTAATTAATTAATTAATTAATTAATTATAAATAATAAATGTGTAAATAATTAATTAATTGTTTTGGTATTTCAACTGTTTGTTGTGAGCGAGCGCTTCGGCGCACAGCAAACGAAGGAAGAGGAGGCAAAAGAAGCACTTGAAACATATTTTAAATCCAAAAATAAAAAACATTTTAAATTCAAAAATAAATAACATTTAATTCAAAAATAAATAACACTTTTAATTCAAAAATAAATCTTCTCTTCAAATGGACTCAGGGCCTCCACGCAAGCACCAGCAGCAACAACAGAATGCACCGCCGCTGCAGCAGCAAGCAGAGCTCAGCAGCAGCAGCAGCAGCAAAAGAAGCAGCAACAGCAGCAGCAAAAGAAGCAGCAACAGCAAAAGAAGCAGAAGTAGCAGCAGAAGAAGCAGCAGTAGCAGCTGAAGAAGCAGCAGTAGCAGCAGAAGGAGCAGCCACAGCGACGCAGCATCTGCAGCAGCAGCAGCAGCAGCAGCAGCAGCAGCAGCAGCAGCAGCACGGACTGCTTTGTTGGCTGTCCGTTCCGAACTGTCTCTTGTGTCTCCTGCGAGTGCCGATTTCTTTGGCGGAAGCTAATCGAGCAACAACTTCGAGATTGGGGGCCAAGACAATGCCGGCGTAGGTTTGTTGGTCTGCTGCTGCTGCTGCTGCTGCTGCTGCAGCGGGGTTTCCGGGGTCAGCAGCAGCAGCAGCAGCAGCAGCAGCAGCGGGAGCCCGCGCATGCAGCAGCTCCGCACCCACCGTGTACTGCGCAGGGTTTAATGCCACTCTGTTGCTCATCGAAACTAATCCAATTAAATAAACTTCATAATTCACAAAAAGGGCCCTTGCAAGTTCAGCAAAGGGGGCCCCCCGAACGCATGCAGCAAACTCCATCCGGTATATTGTGTAGCTGCTGCCCCGCTCGTACTGCATGTAGTCCTCCCGCCCCTTCCTGCAGCAGCAGCAGCAGCAGCAGCAGCAGCAGCAGCAGCAGCAGCAGCAGCAGCAGCAGCAGCAGCAGCAGCAGCAGCA